CACCGACAGATGATCCCTCCGTTCCCGCGTGCTCCGTTCTCCCCTGCTCGGCTCTCTCAGACTCTCCGGAGCTTCCCCTTCCAGCGACTTTTTTTGTCCGTATACGCCTCGTCCATCGCGACAAGGCAGCTTCCAAGCCTTTTTATCAGTCGACCGAAAAGATCCGTGGGGATCCTTCCGCGGCAGCACCCCGCGCATTACTTCCAACCAACCCTCGTGTCGGATACGCGTTACCTTGTGCACGCGCGTTTTCTTCTTTCGTTCGAGTACCGGCCAAATTTTCTTCATTCATGTTTTTAGTCACTCGTATACGTACACTCGTTTTACTTTAAGGGCGTTCGAATAAAAGCGCGGGAAACGATCCGTTGATTCGATCTCCTCGTTGCCCGGAATCGATCGTATCGACGGAGAGATAGCGAAGCGACGCGTAATAAGAGCGACGATAATGAAGTCGTTTCGACATTATTGCGACGGTGTAGAATACGCGTGTCGGGGTAAACGTGTCAAGGTGCCGTCAGCGTAGCGCAACGATTCCGGTGACGACACGCAACCAACACACGTTGATACAACGAGGAAATCGGACGAAGGTGCGTTTATTTCCATGGCAACGTGACGACGCACGGATTCTTTACCCACGGATACGCGGTCGAGGCTCGAGGAACGAAGCGGAAGCCGAAGCAGCGACAAACTACTACCAGGATACGCAAATGTGGTTGGTACTTGTACATTTGCAGCTCAGAAGTTGAGAAACGGCCTCGTGGCGGAGAGTCGGCCGTCTCGCTCTATCTTACGGCGGCCGCTTGGCGAGTCCGCACGGAAAAAAGTGCGCAGACGCGAATCGTGGTTGCGTGTATAACTCCTCCGCAGACGTCTTGGCACATAAGCGAATTTCTTTTCGATTCTTACGACGTTCAACCCCTTTCTACGTACATTTCCGTTCGATCATCCCCGAAATAATTCTAAATCGTATTCCTATTTGTCCCGTTGAAAGGGGTAAACCGTGTTGTCATCCCCTCCTGTCGCGCGATGCGAACAGCGAATACGTTTGCCAAGATATTTAAAAGCGTATAATCAGCGGGAAAATACGAAATAAAGAAGACCGTAAGAAGGATAAACGCGATATCGCGACGCGAGTTAACGTAATCCGTACGACTCTATTTTAAAAACTCGAACGCAGACTCGGTGCCCCTTTAACCCGCATTTTCCTTTATCGAAATAATACTCGAAGCGATAAGCGGCTGTCGCAACCGCTGGAACCGAGCATAACGTCGTCAATGGGTAACAAGTTAGCGAGTAAAGTAAGTAGTCGCGCGAGCTCGTGGCTCCGTTCGGCAGAACGAGTGCGCAGTAACGCGACGTAAGAAGTAGCCAGGAGGTAGGGGAGGGAGAGGGTGTGTTCGCGAAAGAAGCCCGAGGAACGAGGGCGTGCACGCAGGGCAGGGGAAGGTGGCAAGTTTAAGGAAAGGTAGAAAAGAGGGAGAAGTTGGTCACAAGCGTGAGAACAAAGGGGCGAAAATAAGTGCCCTTTTCGGAGGGTGATCGAGGGTGGAGGAGCAAGAAAGAGGAAGACGAATCGAGAGAATGCGTTTGTTAGGTTTCGAAGGAGATAAGGAGAGAGACGAGGACGGTTGGAAGGAAAGAGAAAGACGTCGGGCGATTCGTTCCTTGCGGGTTAAGGAGAGAGTGGGAGAATCGACGGGAGCGAGACGGACGCAACGGGAGCAGCAGGAAAGAGACGAGGAAGGTGGATCGCGAGAGAGGGGAAACGAGAAGGACGAAACGCGCAGGATGGCGCGAGGGAGTAGAGGGTGTCGCGGAGCGAGGGAAGGGAGGTGTGCGTGACGAGAAGGGTGAGAAGGTGGGGGATCGAAGGAGAGGGTGAAGGGTGTAGTGGGGAGGATCGGTGGCGGTGGCGGTGGCAGGATCGCGGGAGGTTGTGCCGTTGTGCGCGGCTCGACGGCTCGGCTTCGGTGGTTCGGTTGAACGAGGGCGCGCAAACGGGCGGGTGTCGCGAGCGTTACGAAGCGGTGAAGGGTACCACGGACGGAAAGCACGGTCGTGGCGCTAGGCGGGCGTAGGCGAGGTTCCGTGACGGCCGTTCGGTGGCGCAGCAGGAATTCTCAGCACGGCAGGCAGCGGGTTGGTCAGCTACGTGGTGTTCGTGCGCCTCTCTCTCTATCGGTGTGTATATGCGCGATTTGCCCCGAGTCCGCGCCTCGACTTGATGACATGGCGTCCTAGCGCTGCACGGACGAAGTCGCACGTCCTCGGTGGAGAGGCTCTCACCCCGTCGTCGAATCAGCCGCATCCCAGGATGCCAAGGTAAGTCGACGTGGTGCCATAGTGTCAATTTACCGGACGAACCGTGTATTAGATCGAAACGAGTCTATAGTTACCGGGGCTCGGGTGTCATCGGGGAAAACCGGGCGGTGTCGATAAGCTGAAAAATGTACGGTGCGCTTCGAGCTCGTTTCGTCAAACCAGGTAGGGTCGTTGCCATCGAGCCTACCCTACGAATCGATATTACCAGTGCGGAGGAGAGGACGCTTCTTTCTCTCTCTCTCGCCCACTTTCTCCCTCTTCACCCCTACACCTATATCTTTCACCTCGCGCTATCTCTCTCTACTCGCCCCCTTGTTCTCCGATCCGAGTTTCACGATCCGTTCCGTTCCGTGTCGTGTGTTCCGTCGTCATCGTTGCTGCCGTCATCGTCATCGTTCGTCGTAGTTACTGTGTAGTGTATAACTCGGATCAAGTGTGTTCGCGCTGGTGCTTCGTATGTTTATACGCGGTCACGATCGTGTTGTACGTGTGCGCGTGTACGGCCATCGTGTGATACCGTGTATACGTAGCCAAGGGTTAACGTCGTGAGCGCAAGCGAGAGAGCGAGTGAACGTTTAGCGGGTTAAAAGGAGAGAGAGGTTAGTTTCACAGTTTCTTGGAAAAACATCGAGGAAAAAAAGTGAAGCGCGTGTAAAGAGGATACTACGTGGCTTATCGACGCATCGACGACAGCGTGCCTCTCGACGTGGATTTTCGCTCAGCCGAGAGAGGGTTGCGTAAATCTTCTCTCCCTCCTCTTTCCCTCGTCTCTCGGCATCGCTCCGTCTTCCTCGTGCACTTCGTCCCTCTCTATTCCCCTTCTCTCTCTGACTCGCTTTTTCTCTCTCCGTCGAACGTGTGTCGCGGTCGGATATGGCGCTGCCCATAGGCGCCGATACGCCCCGGGGTGTCGAGGCTGACTCGACTCGACTCGAGTCGTTCGTTCGTTCGTTCGTTCGTCCATCCGCCGACCATCCTCCCCCTTGTTGTGTTCATTGAGCCGCTTGTTCCCCAGTGTGCCCGTGCAGTTCCTTCCCTCGTGAGGGAGCGTCATTGTTGCCGTCGATTCGTGTTCGCTTCCTCTTCGCCGTTTTCCCCCGGCCCGACACGGTCGTCTCATATTTTTCCTATTCGGCTAATGTAGCCTTCGACTCGCGTTACAATCGTTACCACGTACCATAACAGGTGAGTTGTGTACACATACCTTACTCGTCTTTGCAAACGCGCGAGATCGGATCAGTACCGCAGCCTCGAGCACGAGCACGTGTCAGAACGTGCCTTTCGGTCGGCAGTGTCACCGCGCGCGCGTTAACTAATCTCTTAGTTCCTACATTGTAGTGGAAAATTATGTAACGTGTGTTGGATCGAGGTGACCTTTGGGGGAAAAAAATATTTTCAAAAAAAAAAAAAAGAAAGAAGGGAAGGTTACTTGTGTCAAATGTTCGTAATCGAAGAAAGAGGTTTATCGTTTTGGAACAACTGTGTGAATAGTGGAATATACAGTGACGTGTAGATCAGTGTAACACGGGTGCGTTGTGTATAATTTGTTTTTATCGGCTCGAAACATTGCATATTTTAACAGACGATTTTATTTTCCTTAATGGTAGCTCATTACTAGGGCAGTTAGTTATTCAAGCAGTAGCGTGTACTTTTTGACCAGTTTCGATAGAAACAACGCTTCTGAATATCGAGTGCAGTAAATTATGTCGAAAACAATTTTTGCATTGCATTGTGGTTTCGCGAGAAATGCTCTGTTATAAATACATGACCGCGGATTTGCATCACTCGTTTACGAACATTTTTTATTGTTTCCTTTTTGCGTCTTAAAATATTCATTTACTAAATTTCACTTTATAGTTTATACATTCTCAAGTAGTAACAAATTAACATGTATTTGATAGTTATTTATAATGAAAATCCGCTCCGTGTTTACTATTTACTTTTCCAATATGTTATCAATGAGCATTATCACCATCGGTATTCACTCATCAAATATTAATTTTTAGAAATTGTTTTCGAAACTAGATAACAAATCTCCTGCTTGAGCAAATAAATTTTCCAGTAATTTCCATAGGAGAAAAAAATTAACGTCTGATCCCTTCATTTAAATATAAAAGAATTGTGAGTGTTTATAATTTCGTATACTCCTTTTGCTAAATCTCGTGATTTATTGCAAACTACGTCTTTCGTATTCAAACCCTGAATATTCTGTACTTGGTGCAAGAATTCAAAGTGCAGATTTACCGTTAGCCGACGAGTGTAGTTATCTTAAACAGGGATTCGTTGTTATCTTTGAGATATAGGCATACTTGGACAAAGATTGGACTCGGTTTACGACATTTTGCGCCATATAGTTATTAGGCATTTTTCTTCGTCACATCAGAGATGTACATTCGCTGGTCGACATGAATTTATAGTTACACGCTTAATTCGTATCTTTCTTCGAGTTTCTACTTCTTTATCGTATCACAACTGCTACAAGAATTTTTAGCCGTGTAATGTGGAAAATTCGACAAAAAAACGCGTTCGTCTATCGACCTCCTGCCAAGTGAAATAACCTAACAGCCACGTGGTTCGGACACGTGCTGTTCCTGCTGGTCTACATTACTCCATTTTGAATAATGTTTTAGCTCGTTACTCAATTCACCTTTGTTTCACGAAATTCAATTTAAAATTCTAACAATCCATTATTATACAGAAAAATATTATCCCTTAATATTCTGTTCATTTTATCTCACGATAGAATCCAGAAAAATATTAACAAATTTATAAATAAATTGAGAAAGTAAGGCGAGAATAATATTGAGAGTTACATTTATTTTACTTAAAAGCTAATTAGGTTTTTGTGAAATAATGAAATATTAATGTTATTCAATGTATATTAGTTTTTTTCGTCAGGATAAAATATCGCATTTCGCAATTAAAGGTTATTTAAGACAGGTTCGAGGAAGAAATTTATAAATTATTCAAGGACAGTAACTGCGACATTGTATCAAAAAATTTATTACGAATCACAGATGCGTTTGAAAAATAGTGATATAACCTGCGTACCAGCGACAAGTGCAGGCTTGTGCACTGAAGCTCAACATATTCGTACCCACGTGTGTTTCGTTGAGAACTTACATGGGACTTCCTGCGGGTTCCTGATTAAAGTAGCGTGACGATTTTATCGTGGTACCCGCGAGGGGTTGAAGCGTCGATTATAGTGGTGATGATGGTGGCCGTGCGTGTAGAATAGGGAGGGTTCGACTAAATAGCTCGGTGCCTAGGGATCCCTTGTCATGCTAATATTTGACTAATTTATTAGTGTGACAAGTATCATTTGTCGATTAATCCTGATGAATAGGCAAACAATGGAATTACGCATTCCCCCATTCAAATTTCCCGCGCTTCCGCTCGTTGGCCGATAACATAGATTTCTGCTGCTGCGCCTCATTATCCATGGCAGTGTTTCGTGTCAAAATCTTGCGTATAACAGAAGATTAAAATAGAAATATTTCTCGAGATAAGGAAAAATTTCCTGAATTCTTATCTATAACTCATTTGTCTTATATATATTTTTAATCGATTGAAAATTTCTCTCGCGAACGAGGTTAGAGTATCGTAACAAGTTGCCCATAATCTCTGATCGGAAAATATGGAAGTTTATCAATCGAACGTGATTTTTAATTATATCTTCAATCGTTGATGTTCGTAGTATAATCTTTTACAGGTTATTCTCCAGAGTCGCTATGAATTACATACTTCTATTTTACGGGTAAAAATCGTATGTACTATCTAAAGTGCGTGCGCCTGCGCATTCGTGTAACGGTGATGACTGTGCAACGTGCTGCCTCTCCCTGTACTCCCCATCCGTTGTTCCTTTTATTACGTGTGTGGATTACGACTGTGTGGTCGTCAGGATATATCCATTACAAGAATGTCGGACTCCGACAGCAGTTTGCACTTTTGCCAAGTCGTTGCAGTTTTGATTTTCAGACAGATACGGTGTCAAACATTTTTCGTAAATTTGTCAGCATCGTCGGTAAACAAGAAACAAAGCGGGGGCTACGGTTAGAAAACAGGATTTAATTCTGCTCGATAATTTAATCGTTATGAATAACTTCCGATGACGTCATTTTGAACGCATGATTTTACTCGGTAATGACGAATACTTTACCCTCTGTGTGTTTCATTATCTATCGGTACACGTCACGACTGTTTGTCAGGGGGGTGCTGATTACTCGACAATGCAATAACAGATCCCCGGGGGAGGGGTACCGTTCCGAAGGATATATTTCTGACGGCCTTCTTTTGTCCGAATTTCTTTTATCCTTGGGAATGATTCACCGGGGCTGGTGTGTCAACAACGAAGCCGGTCCGTCGAAACTAGACGCCGTGAAACAAGAATTGGGTATAGCTGCACCTGTTTTCATAACACCATGCAGCTATATCGTGAAATGGGTGTTCAGCTTCGCGCCCTAGTTACACCTGTGTCTAGTATCGTGGAGGCACGTAATACGTTTGCACGACACTGTACGTCAACCGAGGTTGCCACGTTTCTCGTGGTGACTGCTTGCTTGAAAAACGGAGGTCGCATTGAATAACGAGTTACTTGCAAATTATTAGTCAATCCTGGGAGATCGCTGATGTCGATCGAGTCCGAACGATTTTCTTTCTCACGATGAGTCAACTTTCTGTGGGTACTCACCATCCGTGGAATCGAATAATATTATCTTTTTCTAGATCACGGTTTTGTTCTCTGGGAGACAATTTCGAAAACCTTTACGAGCCATTTATTTTTATTTTTAAATACAAAGGTCATCAAATTCTTAATTTCAACATTCCTGAATTTTGAACCGGAAATTTTTATGACCAAAAATATCAGAATTAAATTGTGAAGTCTTAAAGTAGTCTCAAAATTAATGAAGTTTAAAAATTGAAAAATTAAATAGTGTCAGTACTTAAATTTTTATTTTGAAAAATTAAAAAACTTAAAATATAAAAGCGTCGAAATCGTG